GCAGAGGAAAATGGATGGATGGATGGGAAAGGTTGTCCATAGCAGCATGGCATTTGACTGTGAGGATGAACTGTGGGTGGTTGTAAATTTTCTGCATTAGTTCATTGCATGATGTCTCTAGCTCTATCCATTCACATGAATGGGGAGGCTGGAAAATATCCAAAATTACCATAAAATGTAAAGTGCAATAACTCAAAAACTATAACATATAAAAAAAGTCATTTAGCAACTGAAAGACATGCAGAAGAAAAAGTGGCCAAAAGTTAATGGAAGTAGGAGGAATCCCAGATGCAGCATTGGTTGTTGTACACTAGGACACACTATAGAAGATAAAATGATAGATTGTCATGTTCGACCATGTTTGTTGGTTCCTCTCTTCTTTGAGAGTGCAGAATCTGCTGAATGTGTCAATATGTGTTTGTGGTGTTAAAAATGTGGATGACACAGTGAGTGTACCAAAGCCCTCATTTTTGTTTCCTCCTACAATCCCAAATCTGAAAAAGTTGGGATGGTAAAATCAAAATTAACACAGAAAATAGCAATGTGTGTCTTGTATTTCATTGGAATCAATACAGCAGCACATTATTTCAATTTTATTTCTTGTTCAGAATAAACACATTCCAAATAAAGTGGGACAGTAAAGCATTTACCACAGGGCGATGCTGCCATTCCTTTTCACAACACTTAAAGACGTTTAGGGACTGAGGACACCAAGTGATTCAATGTGTCAGGTGTCATTTTGGCCCATTCTTCCTGCAAACAAGTCTTAAGGTGCACAACAGTTCTGGGTCTTGATTGACGCAATTTCTTTCAAGATGCACGACACGTTTCCTAACTGTGCATATGACAAATAAACCTTTGACCTTTGAGCTTGACCTTGACATTCTCTACTGGGGACAGGCCAGGACTGCAGTCAGGCCAGTCCAACACTCACACCCTTTATCTCCACAGCCGGGTCTTGGTAATGTGCAGTATGAGGTTTTGTGTTGTCTTGTTGAAATATGCATGGACGTCCCTTGAAAAGATGTCGTCTTGAAGGCAGCAGATGTTGCTCCAACATCTCTCTGTATTGTTCATCATTAATGGGACCATCATAGAAGTTTAAGTGACCCTTGTCCAGAGCACTGACAGAACCCCAGACCATGACAGACCCTGGCTTTTGGACTTGTTGCTGCTAACAGTCTGGATGATCATTTTCGTCTTTGACCCAGAGCACATGGCATCCATTCCTTCCAAAGAAGACCTGAAATACTGATTGGTCTGACCACAGTCCATGTTTCCACTGTGTGATGGTCCATCCCAGATGCCTCTGATCCCAGAGCAGTCGACTGTGCTTCTGGACACTGTTGACATAGGGCTTCCTTTTGGCACAGTCCAGTTTTAAGCAGCATTTATGGATGGCCAAAGTCATCCTGAACCCCTATGGTCATATAGCTCATAGAAGAGTGACAATTCCTTGATGCAGCACCACATGAGGGATCAGAGAACTCGGTCATCCAGTTTAGGCTTGGCCCTTTATGCACTGACATCCCTCCAGATTCCTTGAATATTTTAATGACATTCTGCACCGTAGAACCTGCACCTTTGCAACTTCTACAGCTGCATCATTGAGAGCATCTTGACCAGCTGCATCACTGTCTGGTATGGCAGCACTACTGCTGTGGACCTCAAGCACCTGCAGAGAGTGGTAAAGACTGTGGAGAAGATCACTAGGACTCCACTGCCCTCTCTGCAGAGCATTTACCACCGCAGGGTGCGTAGGAAAGCTGTCTCCATCCTCAAAGATCCCACCCACCCCCAGCATACCAGGAAATACGTGATGTACTGTTTACATTCTGTTTGCATATGCATAATTGCACAATGACTGTTGACTGCTGCACATGCTGCTCCCTTGCAACATACATTCTCTATTATATTCTTTTATTGTATTGCTGCATTTGTTGCTGCCTAAAGTGTCCTAGAGTTTGTGTTACATGCATAATTACACGACTCTGCTGCACATGCTGCTCCCATGCAGCATACATTCTGTTATATTCTTATATATTTGTTTTTTTTTACTATATGCTGCATCTGTGCTGCTTAAAGTGCCTTAGATTTTGTGTTATTTATTTATCTACTTTGTATTTTGTGGCATTCATATGGACGGCAAAGTAAGAATTTCATTGTACAGGGAAACACGTTTCCTAACTGTGTATATGACAAAATAAACACTTTGAACTTGAACTTGAACTAGAGGGTGACATATCCAAATCTCTTCCTATCTTTCTTTGAGGAACATTGTTTTTAAACATTTCAGTAATTTTCTCAGACATATGTTGGTAAACTGGCGGTCCTTGGCCCATCTTTGCTCCTAAAGGGCTCGGCTTTTCCTGGATGCCACTGTTGTACCAAATCATGATGTAGTCACCTGTTGACATCACCTGGTTCAAATGGAATCATCATTTCATTGTTTTACCTCAGTACTGGCCCTGAAATGCAACCGACCCAACTTTTGGAATGTGTTGCAGCGTCAGAAGTAAAGTGAGTGTTTACTTTTAACAAAATTTACTTTGAGTAAAATTGATTAAGTAATGTGCTGCTGTGTTGTTTTCAGTGTAATACAGGACACAGATGATTTACACTATTTCCTGTTTTAATTTAACATACCATCCCAGCTTTTTCTGATTTTGGGTTGTAAAATAATTCGGCTTTAAACATTAGAGTTAATGGAGCAGTTGCTTGGCACTATTATTTATAATCCACTAGTTGATGTACATTAATATTAAATGTTTCATTCTGCAGAAAGACTACTTATTCTTTTAGTACTTTAAGCATGTTCTAATGCTAAAACTTTGTCCTTAGTTAACATTTTAAATGCAGGACTTGTAACAGAGTATATTGTACACTGATTTATTGCTACTTTTACTTAAGTAAGATATCTGACCACTGGTAAGGTCCACCACCCACTTGGACTCACCAGGCTCAGAAACATGTATTCGTCCTTCCTTCCTTCCTGAAGGTGCTATCCTCTCTCAAGTCATAAACCTCTCCTGCTCAGCCAATACCCCTAATTTAAAATATTGGACATCACCGTAAACTGCTTCAATTTCCCCAAAAAAGGCACAAAACAAGTGGTGCCTGGATCTGATGTAGTTTATGCAGTGCTGAAAACTGTGATGTACTAAAATTTGGCACTGAACTTCTGGTCAGATTTGTAAACTGTTTTAAGAGATACTTCCTGGTTGTAATACCCATACCAGTCAGTTTATGGCATCACCACTAGTACTGAATTTCAGAAAAAAACTAACAGCCCTACTTATGAGCAGAGCGAGGCAGTGTAAATTTGTCAGTGTACTATTAAAGTGTAAACCTAAGTGCCTTTGCAGTTCCTGAAGTCAGAGGCTGACCTGGAATACATTGAGAAGCGGCTGAAGCTGGACTTCATCAACAACACAGCAGAGAATGGAGGTCCCCCTGAGGTAATAACTGAACTAGCACAGGTGTTACTTCTTTAACATTGTCATACAGCTCAAGGCTTGGCCAATTTGAAACAAAGAAATAAATACTATAAATCAATTAAAGGATAAATCCGGTTTTATTTTGGTCTGAAAACAATAGTGACATGCCCATACAGTATATATGTGAGAAGAGGTCTTACCCACTTTAATTTTTCCTATTCTACACACTGACCCTGAAGCTTTTTACCCAGAATGCCACTACACAGTAAAAAAATGCTAGCCAAAATACAAAAAGAGGCGGTGGAATTCTCTTGTACATAAATGGTTGATGGAAAGATGTCATAGCATAAGGGAAAGTTTGTAACACTGACTTAGAGGCTCTATTCATTCACTGCAAACTCTTTTATTCACTGTGGGAGTTTTTCTCTTTTATTCTGGTTGGTGTTAACATCCCACCTCTGGCCTGTGTTAGTGAGCCACTACAACAACTGGCTGACTAACTTGTATGGAACAGATTGTCTTCGGGGATTTGTTCTTCCCAGTCGAAAGCCATTCAGCTGGCTTCCAGCATCCCCCCTTCTCCTGTTTCCTGATAAGGCGTCTAGATTCCACAGTAAACAAACTCATTAAAGAGTTATTCCTTGATTTGCATGGTGTCACCATTAAATGGCACTTTGTTCTCAGAAATGAGCGTGAAGTAAGTAGGCATTCATATAGCAGCCGATGATTTGTGTATGCACGGGATGTTGTACCTGTGAGTGTAGGCTGAGCGCCACCTACAGGCATTATACTGTAACACAGTTGCGGCGAAAGTGGCCACTAATCATGGCAGAGAGTGACACTTTGAATGTCTACATCTGTAAGTCAACCTGACATTTTACAAGATACAACAGGACCTGGAAAGCCTTATCATTAAACTGATTTCATTCCTACATCTGTACTTGGCCAATAAATCAGATTCTGATATATTAATATTAAAGAGGTACCTGCTTTTTTTTTTTTTAACATTTTAATAATGCCCGTGCATAATTTTGTAGTGTAACATTTTAATTCTCATCATCTTCATTGCCAATATTGGAAACCTAATATTTTCTATATTCTCTTTAGTTTCAGTTGTGTTAGAGGCAGTTTATCATGGTGTCACAGCACACAAGCAGAAATGTGCTCAAAAGCAACTGAGACTGGATGCATAAGTCTGTATGGGCTAACGGTTGCTACTATGACTGCAGGAAAACCCTGCGGTGATGCTGGAGAACCTAAGGGTCATCAAGGCCAAACATACAGCGCTGTGCTCTCAGGTGAAGGACATCACGACTGCACAGAAAGACTGCATGGACTCTATTAAAAATAACCTCGGCAGTGTCATGGAGCTGATCCAACACTTCCAACAGACTATTGATGTGGAGGTACAGATATACACAGAAAACCTGTCGAACAAAACCTTATGTGCACATACGGTATATGGTGTTGTGGGACGTGACAAGTGTTTGATAATCCAGCAGACGCTCTTGGCTTCTGTTGGACACAATTCCTATCAAATTTGAAAATAAGTAACCTTTTTAATATTAAAGAGCCCATGGTGCTTTTCCTTGTTTCCTGACTTATCTACAATGTTACAATGGTGAATTATCATCTTAGATGTGACCTAAAGATCAAAAAATTAGGTGTACATACTGTGTGTTATAGTATTTCTATGCAGAGACAACTCGGTTTATACACCTTTCGCAAACTTTCACTAACAAGACTTTATTTTGGTAGAACGTAAAGTATGGATTTCTTTGAATAGTCAATCTCCAGGCTGTTGCATTCATGTGAGCTTGCCTGACATCCACGGTGCCATTGTTAAAAGCAGAATATTTTGACTGTGCCCCGTTTTGTGGATGTTTTCTCTCCTGCTGCTGCACTGTGACCAGAGGATGTGGAGAAAAATGCAGGGCCTGAAGTTACTGTATGTCTGGGAATGTTCCTGTACAGAGACTCGCTGTTTTACCTGACCATGTCTAGGTCTTTTCGACACAACACTGGCAGCAGGTGCTGAGCGCGTTGACGAACTGCCCTCTTGTGTTTAGTGATAAAAACAGAGTACTTAAAACTAGAGACCTGTACGGATATGTATAATCTGTACAATGTATATATACAGGTATTGCACTGAGGGTTATTGTCCAGTCATACTGTCATTGGTTAACTGTTCATCAGTGTGATGGCCGGGGGGAAGAAACTGTCCCTGTGCCTGGTTGTCTTGGTGCACAGTGACCTGTAACGCCATCCAGAGGGGAGGAGTTCAAACAGACTGTGTCCAGGGTGTGAAGGGTCTGCAGTGATCCTCTCCGCCCTCCTTTTGACCCGTGAGGTGTACAGGTCCTTCATGGAGGGCAGGCTCACACCAATGACCTTTTCTGTAGTCCTGACTGTCCTCTGAAGTCTGTACTTGTCCTGTTTGGTTGCTGAGCCAAACCAGACAGTGATGGAGGTGCAGAGAACAGACTCAATGATTCCTCTGTAGAACTGTATCAGCAGCTCCTGGGGTAGGTTGAACTTCCTGAGCTGGTGCA